TGAAAATGACCCACCTGTGTCTCACCTTTACCCGTCTCACCTTTACCTGTGTCTCACCTTTACCTGTGTCTCACTCTGTGTCTCACCTTTACCTGTGTTCCACTCTGTGTCTCACCTTTACCTGTGTCTCACTCTGTGTCTCACCTTTACCTGTGTTTCACACTGTGTCTCACCTGTGTCCACTACAGGTATCGTACGTACCGGAGGCCCAGGTACAAGGTGACCTATAAGATGGTGATGGAGATGGAGTGGAAGTGTTGTCATGGTTACGCCGGGGACAACTGCTATGCCATTCCAACGGGGGTACCGGGGACAGCCAGTTCACAGCGGGACGACCCCAACGACCCCAACGACCCCAACGACCCCAACGACCCCACGTCACAGAGACCAAATAAAACAATGGAGCTGGGGAGCGGGGAGGAGAGAGAGTTGGTTTCAACACCTCTCTCACACATCACCTCTGACACAGTTATAAATATAGGGTACATCAGCTTATTTCAATTCCAGAGAACAGTCCGAGTCCATTTGCTTGGATGCGTTCACGCTTGGAAATGTTATAGCCTTGTGGTTCAATACTTGGTTTGGAAAACTCTAATTTAAATAACTCTTAGGGCCAGTTTCCCAGGCACAGATTAAGCCTAGTCCTGGACTAAACAGTGCTTTCAACTGAGAATCTCTGTCTGGGAAAACTGTTAGCTTTGAATGTTGAAACCTTACATAATGTGGAACTACCCCCTAGTCACAGCCTGGCATGAAGTAATGAACTACCCCCTAGTCACAGCCTGGCATGAAGTAATGAACTGCCCCCTAGTCACAGCCTGGCATGAAGTAATGAACTACCCCCTAGTCACAGCCTGGCATGAAGTAATGAACGGCCCCCTAGTCACAGCCTGGCATGAACTAATGAACGGCCCCCTAGTCACAGCCTGGCATGAACTAATGAACTGCCCCCTAGTCACAGCCTGGCATGAAGTAATGAACGGCCCCCTAGTCACAGCCTGGCATGAAGTAATGAACGTTTGGGGGGGGTGAGAAGGGGGGTATATGATGGGGTGTTATTCTATGTATTTACCAGTATGTAGAAGCAGCAGAACTCTTTTATTGTCCAAGTCAAATGTCCCCTCGGGGACAATAAAGTATATAATATCATAACCCTGTCTCCCTGCTCCAGGTGATGAAGAAGAGACGATCCAGAGGTTGACCAAGGACCTCCATGACATGCAGTCCACCATGACAGGGATGAACTTGAGACTCCACCACGGAACCAGGTCAGACAACAACAAAAAAACACACACACACCATGAACCAGAGGCTCCACCATGTGTCCAGCAGGTGACACAGAGAGAGTCTAACTCCCAAATGGCACCCTATCCCCTATATAGTGCACTACTTTTGACCAGGACTTTTGCTCCAGCAATGTGTTAAACGCTCGGTCATGGCGTTCAGCCAAGGTCTGGAACCTTTCCATGAGACCACGAAGCAGCACCTTGTGCCTTCTAATGGTGGCTCTTTGGGAGGAGATGGCTCGAGTCTGCTGGGTCAGTCATGGCCAGTTCGTACCATCACGTTTCAGGAGAAGACCCAGATGCAGACAGTGTTGAAGTAACAAAAGTTTATTACAAAAACAGGAAGCAGGCAAAACGACAGGTCAATGGCAGGCAGAGGTCAGTAATCCAGATCAGAGTCCAAAAGGTACAGAACGGCAGGCAAGCTCAGGGTCAGGGCAGGCAGAATGGTCAAAACCGGGAAAACTAGAAAACAGGAACTTGAGAAAGACAGGAGCAAGGGGAAAACCGCTGGTAGGCTTGACGAAACAAAACGAACTGGCAACAGACAAACAGAGAACACAGGTATAAATACACTGGGGATAATGGGGAAGATGGGCGACACCTGGAGTGGGGTGGAGACAATCACAAAGACAGGTGAAACAGATCAGGGTGTGACAGCACTACTTTTGACCCAAAGGGCTCTGGTAGTAGGGAATAGGGTGCCGTTTGGGACGGAGACTAAGAGAGTACCCCACAGTGTTTTACTGCTCCCAAAAGTGACTTTAGGAGCTATAATTAATAACTATTTTTTATAACTATTATTATTAACTATTATTAATAACTATTATTAATAACTATTATTAATAACTATAATTATTATATATTATTAATAACTATTATTAATAACTATTATATATTATATATTATTATTATCTATCATTAATAAAGTTTATTATTAACTATTATTAATATCTATTATTATATATTATTAATAACTAGTATCAATAACTATTATTAATAATGATTTTTAATAACTATTATCGATAACTATTATCAATAACTATTATTAATAACTATTATTAATAACTATTATTAATAACTATTGTTATTATATATTATTATTCTCTATTATTAATAACGATTATTATTAACTATTATTAATAACTATTATTATTAACTATTATTATTAGCTATTATTAATAACTATTATTAATAACTATTATTATTATACAGTGGGGGAAAAAAGTATTTAGTCAGCCACCAATTGTGCAAGTTCTCCCACTTAAAAAGATGAGAGAGGCCTGTAATTTTCATCATAGGTACACGTCAACTATGAAAGACAAATTGAGATTTTGTTTCTCCAGAAAATCACATTGTAGGATTTTTAAAGAATTTATTTGCAAATTATGGTGGAAAATAAGTATTTGGTCACCTACAAACAAGCAAGATTTCTGGGTCTTACAGACCTGTAACTTCTTCTTTAAGAGGCTCCTCTGTCCTCCACTCGTTACCTGTATTAATGGCACCTGTTTGAACTTGTTATCAGTATAAAAGACACCTGTCCACAACCTCAAACAGTCACACTCCAAACTCCACTATGGCCAAGACCAAAGAGCTGTCAAAGGACACCAGAAACAAAATTGTAGACCTACACCAGGCTGGGAAGACTGAATCTGCAATAGGTAAGCAGCTTGGTTTGAAGAAATCAACTGTGGGAGCAATTATTAGGAAATGGAAGACATACAAGACCACTGATAATCTCCCTCGATCTGGGGCTCCACGCAAGATCTCACCCCGTGGGGTCAAAATGATCACAAGAACGGTGAGTAAAAATCCCAGAACCACACGGGGGGACCTAGTGAATGACCTGCAGAGAGCTGGGACCAAAGTAACAAAGCCTACCATCATTAACACACTACGCCGCCAGGGACTCAAATCCTGCAGTGCCAGACGTGTCCCCCTGCTTAAGCCAGTACATGTCCAGGCCCGTCTGAAGTTTGCTAGAGTGCATTTGGATGATCCAGAAGAGGATTGGGAGAATGTCGTATGGTCAGATGAAACCAAAATAGAACTTTTTGGTAAAAAACTCAACTCGTCGTGTTTGGAGGACAAAGAATGCTGAGTTGCATCCAAAGAACACCATACCTACTGTGAAGCATGGGGGTGGAAACATCATGCTTTGGGGCTGTTTTTCTGCAAAGGGACCAGGACGACTGATCCGTGTAAAGGAAAGAATGAATGGGGCCATGTATCATGAGATTTTGAGTGAAAACCTCCTTCCATCAGCAAGGGCATTGAAGATGAAACGTGGCTGGGTCTTTCAGCATGACAATGATCCCAAACACACCGCCCGGGCAACGAAGGAGTGGCTTCGTAAGAAGCATTTCAAGGTCCTGGAGTGGCCTAGCCAGTCTCCAGATCTCAACCCCATAGAAAATCTTTGGAGGGAGTTGAAAGTCTGTGTTGCCCAGCGACAGCCCCAAAACATCACTGCTCTAGAGGAGATCTGCATGGAGGAATGGGCCAAAATACCAGCAACAGTGTGTGAAAACCTTGTGACCTGTGTCATTGCCAACAAAGTGTAGATAACAAAGTATTGAGAAACTTTTGTTATTGACCAAATACTTATTTTCCACCATAATTTGCAAATAAATTCATAAAAAATCCTACAATGTGATTTTCTGGATTTTTTATAATCATTTTGTCTGTCATAGTTGACGTGTACCTATGATGAAAATTACAGGCCTCTCTCATCTTTTTAAGTGGGAGAACTTGCACAATTGGTGGCTGACTAAATACTTTTTTCCCCACTGTATATTATTAATAACTATTATTAATAACTATTATTATATTATATATTATTATTATTATATATTATTAATAACGATTATTATTAACTATTATTATTAGCTATTATTAATAACTATTCTTAATAAGTATTATTATTATATATTATTAATATATATTATTAATAACTATTATAATGATATATTATTAATAACTAGTATCAATAACTATTATTAATAACTATTATCAATAATTATTATTAATAACTATTAGTAATAACTATTATTATTATCTATTATTATTATCTATTATTAACTATTATTATTATATATTATTATTATATATTATTAATAACTATTATTATTAACTATTATTAATAACTATTATTAATAACTATTATTATTAGCTATTATTAATAACTATTATTATTAACTATTATGATTGACTATTATTAATGGTGGAATGTTGTAAAGAGTGATGGAAACAAATGTCTGATTTATTTTCTACAAATAAACCTGATACTGGTCAAACAGAAATACTATGTACAGGACTGATGTCTGGATTGGTTTTTCCCAGCATATCTTATCCAGCATCAATACTTACTTTCAATGTGCTCATAACCTTTATTTTGGACCCCACAGGCCAGGCCTGAACGGAGGCAGGACCCCTGCAGACACGGCCCAGCCTATGAAGGAGACCCACAGCATTCAGACCAAGCTTGACCAACTGGACAATCGCACACAGGTACACACACGCACACACGCTTGCACGCAGGCACACACACACGCACACACTCATACATAATTTCTGTGTAAACGAACAATAAAAGCTCCTCTCCTCTCCTCTCAGGTCCACGACCAGACCCGGCTGTCCATCAACAAGCACCTGGTCAACGGTAACGGAGGTTCCCGTGGCAACAAGCTGGAGGGGGCTGTCACAGGCAAGATGAACGCCATGAAGGAGGAGATCCTCGGGGAGCTGGAGAGGAGGGTCAGTCTGTCGTGCTCCTCCTGCCAGAGCGGGGTGGAGGACATGAGGATGCAGCAGAAGAGTGACCAGGAGAGGATCAGGTATGGAGGAATATTACTGCCAACAACAGAAATTGAATCTGAATTCAATCATATTGAATTAGGATTTAGAAATTAGATTTCATTGCCTGTGTATCAAGTTGACAACCTGCAATGTCAAGGCAATACAAGTTAAACAAATATTGAATTCAGTTAAAATTATTTTGTTGGAATTAATGTCACCCCATAACTAGTGCTCTGGAGAAGCTGCTGCCCTCCATGGACCAACATTATCGCCACAACATGGGCGTCCCCAGGAGGGAGATGGAGCGCACCCAGGGCTGCTGCAACACCCTCACTGAGCTGGGCAGGAGTTGAAGGTTAACACCGCCTCACAAGGCTATGACGTCATCAAAGGGCGCTTGGACAAGGAGCTGGGTGGGGGTTCGGGCAGCGGAGGAGGAGGAGGAGGAGGAGGAGAGAAAGGAGGGAGGACGAAGGTGATGGAGGAGAAGCTGAACAGTAGACTGAGGAGGGAGTTGGAGAGGAGGCTGAACAACACCGTGAGGAAGACAGAGCAGAAGTGCACCAACACAGGAAACATCATGAATGACAACCTGCAGAGAGAGGTCACCGCCGTCCGCAACATGGTCCTCAGCTGCATGGACGACCACGGATACAGGATAGGCAAGGTAGATAGATATATCATGACTAATGTTTTGCAGCTCTGTGCATAGGCCTACATTAAAAACATATGTTGGAATGGGGTTAAGGCCCTGCGACAGACTAGTGTCCTGTCCAGGGGTTGTACTTGTACCACCCCTCATCACTGTCAAACGCTCCCTAAAACACTTTAGTGAGCAGGCCTTCCTAATTGACCTGGCCCAGGTATCCTGGATGGATATCGATCTCATTCCGTCAGTAGAGGATGCCTGGTTGTTCTTTAAAAGTGCTTTCCTCTCAATCTTAAATAAGCATGCCCCATTCAAAAAAATCATAACTAAGAACAGATATAGCCCCTGGTTCTCCTCAGACTTGACTGCCCTTGACCAGCACAAAAACGTCCTGTGGCGTACTGCATTAGCATCGAATAGCCCCCGCGATATGCAACTTTTCAGGGAAGTTAGGAACCAATATACATAAGCAGTTAGGAAAGCAAAGGCTAGCTTTTTCAAACAGAAGTTTGCATCCTGTAGCACTAACTCCAAAAAGTTTTGGGACACTGTAAAGTCCATGGAGAATAAGAGCACCTCCTCCCAGCTCACCACTGCAATGAGGCTAGGAAACTCTATCACCACCGATAAATCTAAATTAATCGAGAATTTCAACAAGCATTTTGCTACGGCTGGCCATGCTTTCCACCTGGCTACCACTACCCCGGCCACCAGCTCTGCACCCTTTGCTGCAACTTGCCCATGCCCCCCCAGCTTCTCCTTCACACAAATTCAGACAGCTGATGTTCTGAAAGAGCTGCAAAATCTGGTCCCCTACAAATAATCTGGGCTAGACAATCTAGATCCTTTCTTTCTAAAAATAGCCACCAAAATTGTCGCAACACCTATTACTAGCCTGTTCAACCTCTCTTTCGTAACGTCTGAGATCCCCAGAGATTGGAAAGCTGCCGCGGTCAACTCCCTCTTCAAAGGGGGTGACACTCTAGATCCAAACTGTTACAGACCTATATCCATCCTGCCCTGCATTTCGAAAGTTTTTGAAAGCCAAGTTAACAAACAGATCACCGACCATTTCGAATCCCACCGTACCTTCTCCGCTATGCAATCCGGTTTCCAAGCTGGTCATGGGTGCACCTCAGCCACGCTCAAGGTCCTAAACGATATTATAACCGCGATTGATAATAGACAGTACTGTGCAGCTGTCTTCATCGACCTGGCCAAGGCTTTCGACTCTGTCAACCACTACATTCTTATTGGCAGACTAAATAGCCTTGGTTTCTCAAATGACTGCCTCGCCTGGTTCACCAACTACTTCTCAGATAGAGTTCAATGTGTCAAATCAGAGGGCCTGTTGTCTGGACCTATGGCAGTCTCTATGGGGGTGCCACAGGGTTCGATTCTTGGGCCAACTCTTTTCTCTGTGTATATCAATGGTGTCGCTCTTGCTGCTGGTGACTCTCAGATCCACCTCTACGCAGACGACACCATTTTGTATACATCTGGCCTTTCATTGGACACTGTGTTAACAAACCTCCAAACGAGCTTCAATGCCATACAACACTCCTTCCGTAGCCGCCAACTGCTCTTAAACACTAGTAAAACTAAATGCATCAATTGAATGCTGCTGGCACCCGCCCACCCGACTAGAATCACTACTCTCGACGGGTCTGACCTAGAGTATGTGGACAACTACAAATACCTAGGTGTCAGGTTAGACTGTAAACTCTCCTTCCAGACTCACATTAAGCATCTCCAATCCAAAGTTAAATCTAGAATTGGCTTCCTATTTCGCAACAAAGCCTCGTTCACTCATGCTGCCAAACATGCCCTCGTAAAACGGACTATCCTACCGATCCTTGACTTCGGCGATGTCATTTACAAAATAGCCTCCAACACTCTACTCAGCAAATTAGATGTAGTCTATCACAGTGCCATCTGTTTTGTCACCAAAGCCCCATATACTACCCACCACTGTGACCTGTACACTCTTGTTGGCTGGTCCTCACTACATATTCGTCGCCAAACCCACTGGCTCCAGGCCATCTATAAATCACTGCTAGGCAAATCTCCACCTTATCTTAGCTCATTGGTCACCATAGCAACACCCACCCGTAGTATGCACTCCAACAGGTATATCTCACATCCCCCTGACATCAATGCAAATGTAATCGAAAATCTAATCGAACATTTCATGAGAGCCCATGAGCTCATGTTGCGCAACATTTCTATAGGCTATGCAATTGCGTGAGAAAACAGTGAGTGATGGCCTCTTTTAAAAAGAGGAGGATCCCATCAGCTTTCTATAAGCTAGGCCTACTATATTTATTTCTCAACTTTCCGAATATTAAGCACATTGCTTCTCTTTACAACAGGAGTATAGCCTACCTGGCTTATTTCTATAACCACCCCTGTTGCACAGGTTTACTACCCATTATTAGTTATAACCATCCCTGTTGTACAGGTTTACTACCCATTAATAGTTATAACCACCCCTGTTGTATAGGTTTACTACCCATTATTTCTATAACCACCCCTGTTGTACAAGTTTACTTCCCATTATTTCTATAACCACCCCTGTTGTACAGGTTTACTACCCATTATTTCTATAACCACCCCTGTTGTACAAGTTTACTACCCATTATTAGTTATAACCACCCCTGTTGTTTAGGTGTACTACCCATTATTAGCTAAAACCACCCCTGTTGTACAGGTTTACTACCCATCATCAGCTAAAACCACCCCGGTTGTACAAGTTTACTACCCATTATTAGCTAAAACCACCCCTGTTGTACAGGTTTACTACCCATTATTTCTATAACCACCCCTGTTGTACAAATTTACCACCCATTATTTCTATAACCACCCCGGTTGTACAGGTTTACTACCCAATATTAGTTATAACCACCCCTGTTGTATAGGTTTACTACCCATTATTTCTATAACCACCCCTGTTGTATAGGTTTACTACCCATTATTAGTTATAACCACCCCTGTTGTATAGGTTTACTACCCATTATTAGCTAAAACCACCCCTGTTGTACAGGTTTACTACCCATTATTAGCTAAAACCACCCCTGTCGTACAGGTTTACTACCCATCATTAGCTAAAACCACCCCTGTTGTACAGGTTTACTACCCATTATTAGCTAAAACCACCCCTGTTGTACAGGTTTACTACCCATCATTAGCTAAAACCACCCCTGTTGTACAGGTTTACTACCCATTATTAGCTAAAACCACCCCTGTTGTACAGGTTTACTACCCATTATTAGCTAAAACCACCCCTGTTGTACAGGTTTACTACCCTGAATGACTCAGTGAAGGGGCTGGGTCGTGAAGTTCAAAGGCATGGGAACACCCTCACAGACCTGGGCTCTACCAAGGATAACATCCTTTCTGAGGTTAGAAATACTTTTATTGTCTGTTCTTCACAGAAATGTACTTTAAGTACAGAAAGTACACTGCAGTTGCATTGTTTGCAGACAGACAATTGCATCAGACATCAGTGGTGGTCGGTGCCTTATTTCTATTACAGCATATTGGATGACAGTCATTCATTCGTATTCCATTCACCCAGTTCAATGTAACATTGATAGGTTTAGGCTACTACATGATACTAGAATTTTCCCTATACCCATCATGAGATTGCTACAACCTTCGAATTAAAGTTTACAATGTAGGTGCACAGGTCGAGAGACATTGTTTTTGTAATCAAGGTGAGTGACGGACAGTGAGTAACACATTCAGTACCGCCTTGTACACACTTGCTTGCATCTACAGTTGAAGTCGGAAGTTTACATACACCTTAGCCAAATACATTTAAACTCAGTTTTTCACAATTCCTGACATTTAATCCTAGTAAAAATGCCCTGTCTTAGGTCAGTTAGGATCACCACTTAATTTTAAGAATGTGAAATGTCAGAATAATAGTAGAGAGAATGATTTATTTCAGCTTTTGTTTATTTCATCACATTCCCAGTGGGTCAGAAGTTTACATACACTCAATTAGTATTTGGTAGCATTGCCTTTAAATTGTTTAACTTGGGTCAAACGTTTCGGGTAGCCTTCCACAAGCTTCCCACAATAAGTTGGGTGAATTTTGGCCCATTCCTCCTGACAGAGCTGGTGTAACTGAGTCAGGTTTGTAGGCCTCCTTGCTCGCACACACTTTTTCAGTTCTGCCCACAGATTTTCTATAGGATTGAGGTCAGGGTTTTGTGGCCACTCCAATACCTTGACTTGGTTGTCCTTATGCCATTTTGCCACAACTTTGGAAGTATGCTTGGGGTCATTGTTCATTTGGAAGACCCATTAGCGACCAAGCTTTAACTTCCTGACTGAGGTCTTCAGATGTTGCTTCAATATATCCACATAATTTTCCTTCCTCATGATGCCATCTATTTTGTGAAGTGCACCAGTCCCTCCTGCAGCAAAGCACCCCCACAGCATGATGCTGCCACCCCCGTTCTTCACGGTTGGGATGGTGTTCTTCGGCTTGCAAGTACCCGCTTTTTCCTCCAAACATAATGATGGTCATTATGGCCAAACAGTTTAATTTTTGTTTAATCAGACCAGAGGACATTTCTCCAAAAAGTATGATCTTTGTCCCCATGTGCAGTTGCAAACTGTAGTCTGGCTTTTTTATGGCGGACGTAACACATGCACAAAGTAGATGTCCTAACCGACTTGCCAAAACTATAGTTTGTTAAAAAATAAATGTGTGGAGTGGTTGAAAAACAAGTTTTAATGACTCCAACCTAAGTGTATGTAAACTTCTGACTTCAACTGTAGCTGATCTAGCCTGCAATCAGTAGTCCAAACAGTTGCAAACAAGTTTCTATTGGACAAAATCAGGTATGTTTATTCCTGTTTCATTCCGTTTCCTTACGTTTATGAAACGTTTTAACAGAATCGGCGGAATGAACACACCCCTGATCACCCCCAAACACAGTTCACTTTCATAGCAGCCACATACAAACAGCATGATCTTTTTGCTCGTTGTATAATTCCTTCTCGCATCAATGCGCTATTCTGTGACCAGGTGAAAAAACCTTTCCAAGCCAAACCTTCATACCATAGCCGCTAACCGCTACACAAAACCTACATTGTTGTCACCATATTAGCTAACGTCATAGTCAACATAGCTACTAGAACAACTAACGTGTTAGTAAACCCGCTACAATCATGCAGTACAACTATTATCTTTCTCTCTCTTTGAGTCAACTACTCACCACATTTTAAGCACTGCAGTGCTAGCTAGCTGTAGCTTATGCTTTCAGGTTGGAGAATGTCCTCTGGAAGTTGTCATAATTACTGTGTAAGTCTATGGAAGGGGGTAATAACCATGAGCCTCCTAGGTATTGTATTGAAGTCAATGTACCCAGAGGAGGACGGAAGCTAGCTGTCCTCCGGCTACTCCATGGTGCTACCCCAGAGAGTACTGTTGAGGTTACGGTAGACCTTCATTTCAAAACAGTATGTTTTATTATTTGGTGACGTGAATATATTTAGTATAGTTTAATCTAAAAATAACTTTTTTAATGTTTCACTATTTGTATTTTTATGAAATTCACTGAAGAGGATGGTCCTCCCCTTCCTCCTTTGAGGAGCCTCCACTGTCAGACATACAGTCATGATAAACACATACAGCTAGTCTCAGCTAGACTGGTTACCAGTCTTTGTTAGCTAACGTTCCATTCCTTACCACTCCTGTCATTTGCCAAAGAGACTGGCCTTTCGGCAATCATAACGTTCAATGTGCAGCCGGATTTACGGCGCAGTTGCTAATTTGTAGTTGGAAACAACAGCAATATTTTCCATGACAACAAGAACAACAACAGACAATGGCGCTAGGACCTGCTGCGATCATTCCCTTGTGAGAAGGCAGTGTCAACGCAAGTGTCACGATCGTCGGATACAGAGGACCAAGGCGCAGCGTTGAAGGCGAACATACTTTTATTATTTAGAATGAACACACGAACAAAAACAACAAACGATAACGTGACGTCCTCGGTTCTAACACAAACCTATACTGGAACAGACCCCACACCAAACAATGCCAAACGGCTACCTAAGTATGGCTCCCAATCAGAGACAACGAGCTACAGCCGTCTCCGATTGGGAGCCACCCTGGCCAACATAGAAATACTAAACTAGAACAAAAACCCAATGAAAACTCACACCCTGGCTCAACATACTAGAGTCCCCAGAGCCAGGGCGTGACAGCAAGATAATGTTGTCAACGCAAGATAATGTTGTCAACGCAAGATAATGTTGTCAATGCAAGATAATGTTGTCAACGCAAGATAATGTTGTTCAAAGTGGCTAGAGAGGGAAACAATGATGCAGAAAATATGAGCCTACAAGAACCAATCAAACTTTTGCTTCAGTTGCATCCAATTAATGAGAGGAAAGAAATGGCACCTGTCGTCATTCCTCGTACATACTGTTTCCACATTTTGTTACGTTACAGCCTTATTCTAAAATGGATAAAATAAAATAAAATCCTCATCACATTACCCTATAATGACAAAGCGAAAACAGGTTTTTAGAAATGTTTGCAAATGTATTCAAAATTAAAAACAGAAATACCTTATTTACATAAGTATTCAGGCCCTTTGCTATGAGACTAGAAATTGTGTTCAGGTGCATCCTGTTTCCATTGATCATCCTTGATGTTTCTACAACTTGATTGGAGTACACCTGTGGTAAATTTAATTGATTGGACATGATTTGGAAAGGCACACACCTGTCTATATAAGGTCCCACCGTTGGCAGTACATGTCAGAGCAAAAACCAAGCCATGAGGTCGAAGGACTTGTCCGTAGAGCTCTGAGACAAGATTATGTTGAGGCACAGATCTGGGCAAGGGTACCAAAAAATGTCTGCAGCATTGAAGGTCCCAAAGAACACAGTGGCCTCCATCATTCTTAAATGGAAGAAGTTTGGAACCACCAAGACTCTTCCTAGAGCTGGCTGCCCTGCCAAACTGAGCAATCGAGGGAGAAGGGCCTTGGTCAGGGAGGTGACCAAGAACCCGATGGTCACTATGACAGCGCTCCAGAGTTCCTCTGTGAAGATAGGAGAACCTTCCAGAAGGACATCCATCTCTGTTGCACTCCACCAATCAGGCCTTTATGGTAGAGTGGCCAGACGGAAGCCACTCCTCAGTAAAAGGCACATGACAGCCCACTTGGAGTTTGCCAAAAGGCACCTAAAGGACTCTCAGACCATGAGAAACAAGATTCTCTGGTCTGATGAAATCAAGATTGAATTCTTTGGCCTGAATGCCAAGCGTCACATCTGGAGAAAACCTAGCACCATCCCTATGGTGAAGCATGGTGCTGGCAGCATCATGCTGTGGGGGTGTTTTTCAGCCGCAGGGACTGGGAGACTAGTCAGGATTGAGGGAAAGATGAACAGAGCAAAGTACAGAGAGATCCTTGATGAAAGCCTGCTCCAGAGCACTCAGGACCTCAGACTGGGGTGAAGGTTCACCTTCCAACAGGACAACGACCCTAAGCACACCGCCAAGACAACGCAGGAGTGGCTTCGGGACAAGTCTCTGAATGTCCTTGAGTGGCCCAGCCAGAGCCCGGACTTGAACCCGATCGAACATCTCTGGAGAGACCTGAAAATAGCTGTGCAGCGACACTCCACATCCAACCTGACAGAGCTTGAGAGGATCTGCAGAGAAGAATGGGATAAACTCCCCAAATACAGGTGTGTCAAGATTATAACGTCATACCCAAGAAGACTCGAGGCTGTAATCGCTGCCAACGTGCTTCAACAAAGTACTGAGTAAAGGGTCTGAATACTTATGTAAATGTAATATCCTTTATTTTTTTGATATATATACATTTGTAAACATTTCTAAAAATCTGTTTTTGCTTTGTCATTATGGGGTATTGTGTGTAGATTGATAAAAACATAAATAATAATAATTTTAGAATAAGGCTGTAACGTAACAAAATGTGGAAAAAGTCAAGGGGTCTGAATACTTTCCGAATGCACTGTATGTTCCATACAGCAGGTTTTTAAAGGACCAAAGCGTTTGGTCTGCTTCCTGTTTTCATCTTTGCCATGGAAACAATATGGCTATACTGGTATCATCACATCCCTAGTAATTACTATAACAGTAATGATGTAACTAGTATTATAAACTGGGTGGTTCTAGCCCTGAATGCTGATTGGCTGACAGTACTATAACAGTAATGATGTAACTAGTATTATAAACTGGGTGGTTCTAGCCCTGAATGCTGATTGGCTGACAGTACTATAACAGTAATGATGTAACTAGTATTATAAACTGGGTGGTTCTAGCCCTGAATGCTGATTGGCTGACAGTACTATAACAGTAATGATGTAACTAGTATTATTAACTGGGTGGTTCTAGCCCTGAATGCTGATTGGCTGACAGTACTATAACAGTAATGATGTAACTAGTGTTATAAACTGGGTGGTTCTAGCCCTGAATGCTGATTGGCTGACAGTACTATAACAGTAATGATGTAACTAGTGTTATAAACTGGGTGGTTCTAGCCCTGAATGCTGATTGGCTGACAGTACTATAACAGTAATGATGTAACTAGTATTATAAACTGGGTGGTTCTAGCCCTGAATGCTGATTGGCTGACAGTACTATAACAGTAATGATGTAACTAGTATTATAAACTGGGTGGTTCTAGCCCTGAATGCTGATTGGCTGACAGTACTATAACAGTAATGATGTAACTAGTGTTATAAACTGGGTGGTTCTATCCCTGAATATATATATTGGGGAAAGAAGCACCTTGCTATTGCTTGATGGATATAAAATAGGTCACAGCTTTCACAATGAACTGGCGGAGAAGTTTGAATGGCCAGAGCTTCTCTGGTGTGATGTGATCACATTGGACAATCAACTTTCAGTAACTTCAACAACAACTCAACAAGTCATTTAGTTGATTTCAGTTGATTTGGACTGTTGTTGGTGAGTGAAGAGAAGTGTACGCCCAAGCCACAAGCATGAATGCAGACTGCAGAGATATCATTACTACTTGAGATGAGAGATGAGATTGTACTTTATTAATCCACAAGGGGGCATTAGTTTAGATGAGATTGTACTTTATTAATCCACAAGGGGAAGGTAGTTTAGATGAGATTGTACTTTATTAATCCACAAGGGGAAAGTAGTTTAGATGAGATTGTACTTTACTAATCCACAAGGGGACAGTAGTTTAGATGAGATTGTACTTTATTAATCCACAAGGGAGCAGTAGTTTAGATGAGATTGTACTTTATTAATCCACAAGGGGGCAGTAGTTTAGATGAGATTGTACTTTATTAATCCACAAGGGGACAGTAGTTTAGATGAGATTTATCCTGAAATAAACCTAGTATGTGTCTGGGATGATTAACTGTCCTCCTCAGTCACCTCAACATAGGGCTCTGGTCAAAAGTAGTGCACTAAATAGGGAATAGAGTGTTATTTGGGAAGCACAACTTTCTGCTCTGCTCTGGTGTGGCTCTGGCTGAGTAGACTATTTTAAGTACAGAGAGTAACTGGTCATTGGAGCCTGGTCTGTGGTGTGTCTTGCTGAATAGTTTTCTAGGCAGGTGGTGTATCTCACTAAGTAGACTCTGAATTTAGTAAAGAGCGCTTCTATCCAGCTGTTCTGTTTTCTGGAATGTTCTCTTGAGAGAATGTATTATTAATATCACAGCATTACCTGTGACACTCTGTGCCCACATACTCATTTTGTATTGATAAGTATCAACAACAAAACTAAAAAAAAGGTATATTTCCTAAGACAAAATATGTGTGCATGCATCAGCTGTCCAAAAATAACACATCCTTTGTTCCATGTGTAAGGTTCCCCTGGTCTGCCTGGTCCAAGGGGAGAGAGGGGCTACTCTGGACCCCAAGGAGGAGAAGGGTCCCAAGGCAAACCTGGCAAGGAGGGGCTCCTGGGACCTCCAGGTAAAACAAACACACATTTGATCTTCACAAAGTGATACAGAAGCTCTGGAAAGGCTGTGAGGTCTTAATAAATACCATCGACACTGGCACGTGCAGAGTGCAGGGTTTTAATTTCTCTCAACTCTTATAAAAATGAAAAATAATGACAAAGTTATAATAACCATAACTATACTTTTAACTCTAAAATGAACTAAATCAGTGTTCTGTTATTTCATCTGTTCATTTGTTCTTTCATCCCAGGTCTGAAAGGTGAAGAAGGTACAGTGGGGAAATAAAGTATTTAGTCAGCCACCAATTGTGCAAGTTCTCCCACTTAAAAAGATGAGAGAGGCCTGTAATTTTCATCATAGGTACACGTCAACTATGGCAGACAAAATGAGAAAAAAAATCAAGAAAATCACATTGTAGGATTTTTAATGAATTGATTTGCAAATTATGGTGGAAAATAAGTATTTGGTCACCTACAAACAAGCAAGATTTCTGGCTCTCACAGACCTGTAACTTCTTCTTTAAGAGGCTCCTCTGTCCTCCACTCGTTACCTGTATTAATGGCACCTGTTTGAACTTGTTATCAGTATAAAAGACACCTGTCCACAAACTCAAACAGTCACACTCCAAACTCCACTATGGCCAAGACCAAAGAGCTGTCAAAGGACACCAGAAACAAAATTGTAGACCTGCACCAGGCTGGGAAGACAATCTGCAATAGGTAAGCAGCTTGGTTTGAAGAAATCAACTGTGGGAGCAATTATTAGGAAATGGAAGACATACAAGACCACTGATAATCTCCCTCGATCTGGGGCTCCACGCAAGATCTCACCCCGTGGGGTCAAAATGATCACAAGAACGGTGAGCAAAAATCCCAGAACCACACGGGGGGACCTACTGAATGACCTGCAGAGAGCTGAGACCAAAGTAACAAAGCCTACCATCAGTAACACACTACGCCGCCAGGCACTCAAATCCTGCAGTATCAGACGTGTCCCCCTGCTTAAGCCAGTACATGTCCAGGCCCGTCTGAAGTTTGCTAGAGTGCATTTGGATGATCCAGAAGAGGATTGGGAGAATGTCATGTGGTCAGATGAAACCAAAATATAACTTTTTGGTAAAAACTCAACTCGTCGTGTTTGGAGGACAAAGAATGCTGTGTTGCATCCAAAGAACACCATACCTACTGTGAAGCATGGGGGTGGAAACATCATGCTTTGGGGCTGTTTTTCTGCAAAGGGACCAGGACGACTGATCCGTGTAAAGGAAAGAATGAATGGGGCCATGTATCGTGAGATTTTGAGTGAAAACCTCCTTCCATCAGCAAGGGCATTGAAGATGAAACGTGGCTGGGTCTTTCAGCATGACAATGATCCCAAACACACCGCCCGGGCAACGAAGGAGTGGCTTCGTAAGAAGCATTTCAAGGTCCTGGAGTGGCCTAGCCAGTCTCCAGATCTCAACCCCATAGAAAATCTTTGGAGGGAGTTGAAAGTCCGTGTTGCCCAGCGACAGCCCCAAAACATCAATGCTCTAGAGGAAATCTGCATGGAGGAATGGGCCAAAATACCAGCAACAGTGTGTGAAAACCTTGTGAAGACTTACAGAAAACGTTTGACCTGTGTCATTGCCAACAAAGTGTATATAACAAAATATTGAGAAACTTTTGTTATTGACCAAATACTTATTTTCCACCATAATTTGCAAATAAATTCATTAAAAATCCTACAATGTGATTTTCTGGATTTTCTTTTCTCGTTTTGTCTGTCATAGTTGACGTGTACATATGATGAAAATTACAGGCCTCTCTCATCTTTTTAAGTGGGAGAACTTGCACAATTGGTGGCTGACTAAATACTTTTTTCCCCCACTGTATGTTCATGTATCTCTTCATTAATAATGTTAACTTGAAAGCACTATGTGATAACTCTCTCATCTGTCCTCACTTGAATCCTGAATTTGACCATTTATGTTTGTTAGCGTGTTGTGTATGTTTGTACTCAGTGTTTGTCCTGTAGCCTTTAAGTACGTTGCGTCCTCCTGTATTGTGTCATACGATAGTAGATCTACATAGGCTTTAACTAACGCCACCGATGTGTTATGATACATCCACATCTCTAAACACACCTCTCTCCCCTGGTACCAGGTCCAGCAGGATAAACACACCTCTCTCCCCTGGTACCAGGTCCAGCAGGATAAACACACCTCTCTCCCCTGGTATCAGGTCCTTCAGGATAAACACACCTCTCTCCCCTGGTACCAGATCCTTCAGGATAAACACACCTCTCTCCCTTGGTACCAGGTCCAGCAGGATAAACACACCTCTCTCCCTTGGTACCAGGTCCAGCAGGATAAACACACCTCTCTCCCCTGGTACCAGGTCCAGCAGGATAAACACACCTCTCTACCCTGGTACCAGGTCCAGCAAGAGAAACACAACCTCTCTCCCCTGGGTACCAGGTCCTTCAGGATAAACACACCTGTCTCCCCTGGTACCAGGTCCTTCAGGATAAACAACACCTCTCTCCCCTGGGTACCAGGTCCTTCAGGATAAACACACCTGTCTCCCATGGTACAGGTCCTTCAGGATAAACACACCTCTCTCCCCTGGTACCAGGTCCAGCAGGATAAACACACTCTCTCCCCTGGTACCAGGTCCTTCAGGGATAAACAACACTGTCTCCCCTGGTACCAGGTCCTTCAGGATAAACCACACCTCTCTCCCTGATACCAGGTCCAGCAGGATAACACACCTCTCTACCCTGGTACCAGGTCCAGCAGGATAAACACACCTCTCTCCCCTGGTACCAGGTCCTTCAGGATAAACACACCCTCTCTCCCCTGATACCAGGTCCAGCAGGATAAAACACACCTCTCTACCCTGTACCAGGTCCACGCAGGATAAACACACCTCTCTCCCCGGTTGCCAGGGTCCAGCAGGATAAACCAAACCATCTCTCCCACTGGTACTCATGGTCTCAGCAGGATAACCACACCACATCTCTCCCCTTAGGTACCCAGGTCCAGCAGGAAAACACAACACACCTCTCTCCCCTGGTACCATGGTCCAGCAGGATAAACCACAACTCGTCTCCTCCCCTGGTATCAGGTCCTTTCAGGATAAACACAACCTTCCCCCCTGGTACCAGGTCCTTCAGGGATAAACACACACCTCTCTCCCCTGGTACCAGGTCCTTCAGGATAAACACGACCATCTCTCCCCTTGGTACCAGGTCTCCAGACAGGATAAACACACTCTCTCCCCCTGGGTACCATGGGTGGGTCCAGCAGGATAAACACACCCTCTCTCTCCCCTGGTACCTGGTTCAGCAGGGATAAACACACCTCTCTCCCCTGGTAATTCAGGTCCTTCAGGATAAACACACCTCTCTCCCCCTGGTACCAGGTCCTTAGGATAACACCACCCTCTCCCCCCATGGTACCAGGTCCAGCAGGATAAACACACCTCTCTCCCCCTGGTACCAGGTCCAGCAGGATCAGATGCCCATGTTCCTCGTCTGTTCTTCTCAGCAGCTCTGACCCGCCCACAGGCTAGGGCAGGAACCATAGTCTTCAACAAGGTCTTTGTCAACAAGAAGGAGGTCCATAACCAACACACAGGTGTGTGTTTGGGATACTGTACATCTCTGTCAATATTTTATCATCTTAGTTCTTGAATCTTAGACTGGAGTATTTATTTGAGTAAATAATGAATACTGAATTCTGATATACTGTATGTTGTGCTTGTTTGAATGCAAAACACTCACGACACAGTTATTTTTTTTTGCTATGTCATTATATATTTTACAATACAACTTTGTTGTCCAAGAAAATTGAAGTTAATATCACTTGCTATAACACGCCACCATGTCTCTGTCTCCCCAGGTTACTTCACAGCCCCAGCGAGTGGTAAATACTTATTCAGCGCTACCCTAACAGGCCATAAGAATGTGAAGATTGAGGCTGTCCTATCTAAGTGTAACTACGGCGTGGCGCGTGGGGGACTCTGCAGGCTACCAATCAGAGGGGCTGGAGAAAACCCATGGCAGAGGCCAGACACACGCCCCTATGAAGGTGGGAGATACCGTCTCCGTCTGCGTCGACCTGGTCACCGGGAAACTGGCCCACTCTTCTGAAGCCCTCACCATCTTCAGTGGGATGCTGCTGTATGAGACCGTCTGATTGGCTAGGCTGTCAGCATGAGGCGGTCTGATTGGATGGACTGTCAGTTTGAGGCCATTTGATTGGATGGTTTGTACAAGAAGGATGAGTCTGATGGTGCTTACTGAGACAGCCAGAAGTGACTAAGAGGACAGTGTCTGAGATCAAGGTTGAATCAATGACGATCTGTCTTTATGAATGAAGAAAAACATTAAGTTGAAGAAGTATCCTTTTATCGATCTATCCATTTGATGATTTGTTTTGTGTTTCCCAGTTTAAAGGAACAGATTAATCGGAACAAAGGGCCATTACACTTTATTCATTGACATTAACTTCCTTTGAAAGGAGATAACACTGCAGGGTTTTTACATTGTATTAATTCAATAGTTTGTTCGGCACTATAAACTTGAACGTTTCTTGTTTCAGCTATCATCATAAGCTGGGCTGGAGGTCTCACACATATTCTTAAAGTTCAAAGCAAACTAGTTTGTTTTTGAAGTATCACACAAGAATTAAAAAATATTTTACACCCACAAATATGACTCTGGGATGGTTGTCCTGGGTTATTATTGAACACCTTTCAATTTCTATATGGTTCTGAAGTATGCAGTGAGGGAAAAAAGTTTTTGATCCCCTGCACGGCCAAGGCAACAAAGGAGTGGCTCAAGAAGAAGCACATTAAGGTCCTGGAGTGGCCTAGCCAGTCTCCAGACCTTAATCCCATACAAAATCTGTGGAGGGAGCTGAAGGTTCGAGTTGCCAAACGTCAGCCTCGAAACCTTAATGACTTGGAGAAGATCTGCAAAGAGGAGTGGGACAAAATCCCTCCTGAGATGTGTGCAAACATCGTGGCCAACTACAAGAAACGTCTGACCTCTGTGATTGCCAACAAGGATTTTGCCACCAAGTACTAAGTAATGTTTTGCAGAGGGGGTCAAATACTTATTTCCCTCATTAAAATGCAAATCAATTTATAAAGTTTTTTACATCCGTTTTTCTGGATTTTTTTGTTGTTATTCTGTCTCTCACTGTTCAAACAAACCTACCATTAAAATTATAGACTGATCATTTCTTTGTCAGTGGGCAAACGTACAAAATCAGCAGGGGATCAAATACTTTTTTCCCCTCACTGTATCTATATATATATTAGTTTATCTTCTGTCTTTGTTAGTCACTCTCTGCCGTGTTTATTTCACGGGTGCAAAAAAAATGGAGAGAAACACAATCAGGGGCGTCATGCACCCCCAAAATCTGAGAGGGCACAAAGTACGTGAAGATGGCTGGGGGGGGGGTCGTCCACATTTTTAAAACACCTGAAACAGCTTTTTCCTGCAATCTAGAGCTGTAATCATTATGCTTAATTCTATGTAAATATATATATATATATTTTTTTCTTCTACATATCTAACAATAACTCTTGAGCTGTCTGTATCCTCCCGAGTGGGGGTAATTTTTTTTAAGAAAAACCTTTCTATGCATCTCTGCTAAAATCTGGGTAAAATATTGAAAGTAATGTGAGTCTTCTTCACTACAGGACAGGACACTACAAGACAGGATACTACAGGATAGGACACTACAGAACACTACAGGACAGGACACTACAAGACAGGACACTACAAGACAGGACACTACAGAACACTACAGGACAGGACACTACAAGACAGGACACTACAGAACACTACAGGACAGGACACTACAAGACAGGACACTACAGAACACTACAGGACAGGACACTACAAGACAGGACACTACAGAACACTACAGGACAAGTGACACTACAAGACAGGACACTACAGAACACTACAGGACAGGACACTACAAAAGGACACAGGACAGGAAAACTACATGACGGACACTACAGGACAAGACTTACAGGACAAGGACACTACAGGGCAGACCCTACAGGACAGGGCCTACAGACAGGAAAACTACAAGACAGGACACTACAGGGCAAGACTTAAGGACGAACACTACAGGACGGACACTACAGGACAGGACACTACAGACAGGAAAATACAGGACACTACAGGACAGGACAGGACCTACAAGACAGGACCCTACAGACAGTGACCCAAAATAGGACCTACAGTATAGGACAGGACACTACAGGACAGGGCACTACAAAAACTACAGGGCAGGACAGGACCCAACACTACAGGAAAAGGCACTACCCGGACGAACACTACAGGGCAGACCTACGGACAGGACACTACAGGACAGGACACTATAGGACAGGACCCTACAGGACAGACACTACAGGACAGTGACACTACAGGACAGGACACTACAAGACAGGACACTATAGGACAGGACACTACAGGACAGGACACTACAGGACAGGACACTACAGGACAGGACACTATAGGACAGGACACTACAGGACAGGACACTACAGGACAAGACATTACAGGACAGAACACTACAGGACAGGACACTACAGGACAGGAAACTACAGGACACTACAGGACAGGACACTACAAGACAGGACACTACAGGACAGGACAATATAGGACACTACAGTATAGGACAGGACACTACAGGACAGGACACTACAGAACACTACAGGACAGGACAGGACACAACACTACAGGAAAAGGCACTACAGGACAGGACACTACAGGACAGGACACTACAGGACAGGACACTACAGGACAAAACACTATAGGACAGGACACTACAGGACAGGACACTACAGGACAGGACACTATAGGACAGGACAAAACAGTCTCTTCTGGATAGCCTCTTCAGAATGGGTCCAGTTTTCTCTGGATGTCTGCTGAGATGTATTGGAGTTCAGGAGGATGGAGTCTGTCTCCAGAATGGAATGTTTTTTGGGATGCATCATTTACCAGGCAATCTAATCTTTTTTTCTTTTTTTTTACAAAGTATTCAAAGAATGTCCAGCCTCTGTATACACTACCATTCAAAAGTTTGGGGTCACTTAGAAATGTCCTTGTTTTCGAAAGAAAAGCAATTCTTTTTGTCCATTAAAATAACATCAAATTGATCAGAAATACAGTGTAGACATTGTTAATGTTGTAAATGGCTATTGTAGCTGGAAACAGCTGTTTTTTTATGGAATATCTACATAGGCGTACAGAGGCCCATTATCTGCAACCATCAGTCCTGTGTTCCAATGGCACGTTGTGTTTGCTAATCCATGTTTATCATTTAAAAAGGCTAATTGATCATTAGAAAACCCTTTTGCAATTATGTTAGCGCAGCTGAAAACTGTTGTGCTGATTAAAGAAGCAATAAAACGGGCCTTCTTGAGACTAGTTGAGTATCTGGAGCATCAGCAATTGTGGGTTCGATTACAGGCTCAGAATGGCCAGAAACAAATAACTTTCTTCTGAAACTCATCAGTCTATTCTTGTTCTGAGAAATGAAGGCTGTTCCATGCGAGAAATTGCCAAGAAACGGAAGATCTCGTACAACGCTGTGTACTACTCCCTTCACAGAACAGTGCAAACTGTCTCTAACCAGAATAGAAAAAGGAGTGGGAGGCCCCGGTTCCCAACTGAGCAAGAGGACAAATACATTAGAGTGTCTAGTTTGAGAAACAGACGCCTCACAGGTCCTCAACTGGCAGCTTCATTAAATAGTACCCGCAAAACACCAGTCTCAACGTCATCAGTGAAGAGGCGACTCCGGGATGCTGACCATCTAGGCAGAGTTGCAAAGAAAAAGCCATATCTCAGACTGGCCAATAAAAAGAAAAGATTAAGATCGGCAAAACAACACAGACACTGGACAGAGGAAGATTGGAAAAAAGTGTTATGGACAGACAAATCGAAGTTTGAGGTGTTCGGATCACAAAGAAGAACATTTGTGAGACGCAGACCAAATGAAAAGATGCTGGAGGAGTTCTTGATGCCATCTGTCAAGCATGGTGGAGGCAATGTGATGGTCTGGGGGTGCTTTAGTGGTGGTAATAATAATAAATAATAATATGCCATTTAGCAGACGCTTTTATCCAAAGCGACTTACAGTCATGCGTGCATACATTTTTTTTTTGTGTGTGTGGTAAAGTGGGAGATTTGTACAGGTTAAAAGGGATCTTGAAGAAGGAAGGCTATCACTCCATTTTGCAACGCCATGCCATACCCTGTGGATGGCGCTTGATTGGAGCCAATTTCCTCCTACAACAGGACAATGACCCAAAGCACAGCTCCAACTATGCAAGAACTATTTAGGGAAGAAGCAGTCAGCTTGTATTCTGTCTATAATGGAGTGGCCAGCACAGTCACCGGATCTCAACCCTATTGAGCTGTTGTGGGAGCAGCTTGACCGTATGGTACGTAAGACGTGCCCATCAAGCCAATCCAACTTGTGGGAGGTGCTTCAGGAAGCATGGGGTGAAATCTCTTCAGATTACCTCAACAAATTGACAACTAGAATGCCAAAGGTCTGCAAGGCTGTAATTGCTGCAAATAGAGGATTCTTTGACGAAAGCAAAGTTTGAAGGACACAATTATTATTTCAATTAAAAATCATTATTTCTAACCTTGTCAATGACTACATTTCCTATGCATTTTGCTATATTTCCTATTCAAACTCATTTCATGTATATTTTCATGGAAAACAAGGACATTTCTAAGTGACCCCAAACTTTTGAACGGTAGTGTACTTTTTCAATCATCACTACAGGGCTTGTCAAAACTCCCAACAGCGGTTTACTGTTTCTGTTTCAGTCCAGGCCGCAATGACTCATATCAGTGATCCACTGTCAACAAGAGAAATTGTGACCATGCAGGCCAGGATGTATCAGAATAGGATATCACTCTACAGGACAGGATATCACTCTACAGGACAGGATATCACTCTACAGGACAGGATATCACTCTACAGGACAGGATATCACTCTACAGGACAGGATATCACTCTACAGGACAGAATGTCACTCTACAGGACAGGATATTACTCTACAGGACAGGATATCACTCTACAGGACAGGATATCAGTCTACAGGACAGGATATCACTCTACAGGCCAGGATATCACTTTACAGGACAGGATAT